GAATATATAAGTGAGAATGAATGTTAAATCATTTATTTAATTTTCAATTAAGTAAAACCAAATGTTAATTAGCATACATAGACCTGATTAATGAAATGCATTCTTGAATGCGAAATTCTTATTAACTTATAATTAGAATTAATAACACTAAAATGCATAAATGAATATGAATTTTAATTAAATGCGTGTGATTGTTAATTAATTGAGAATTAGTAATACGGAATTCATACATTAATAAAAGCTTACATGTGAATTAATTAAATGAATGTAAATATTAATTAATTGAGAATTAATAATAGAAAATTCATACATTAATGAAAGCATATAATTGAAATTAATCTATCAAATGTACATGTATATTGATGGTAACTAAATTGTTAAATAAATTATATACATATTGCAAAAAGAAAAATAATTTATTATACCAAACTAACTGAATTATAGTAAGATTATTATCGTCTAAAAAATGATTCTGATTTCATGTGATATTTAGGGCTTGTTTGGTAACACTAAAAATCCAATTAAAATTGAAAATATAATCGTTATTGGATCCCACACTCTTAATATATTATAGATTGAGTTGCTTGACTTTCGGACGAAAGAGCAAGAAAATTTCTTTTTGCCCTCATTTTGTACTCTCCTTTGGCGCCTTAGGTTCTCAAGTTGCTTGACTTTCCTTCTTTGCTAGTCCAAATTTAAGTTCTAGAATCACTTATAAGTTAAAACTCAATAATTGCATTGGACGTGTAAAAGGAGAATCTTTTGATAAAAAAAAAATTATTTTGATGTCCCATCGCCGCTCTCTAAGTTAATATCCAAGTTATTATAGTTATATTTTAAATTACTCATTAATCAATAAAAAGGGAAATTAGAGAATTCATTGTATTTGACACATACTTTAGGACTTTTAGAAAAGTTAAAACGTGTTTAGTGATGAAAATCTTTAATTATTATTACTTTAGCGATGAACCCTAATAAAAAATTGAGTTTTATAGTACAATAATAGAAACTACATTGATGAAGAAGATAATTAAAGCAAGTTTAGTGATTAATTGGATCGATAAGATTGTGATACGTGCAAGGTCTTAATTATTTCGAAAAATTATAAATAATAGACTATTGAGACGCAAATGTAGGAGTGATAATCAAATAAAGTGATATCTCGTAGGACCTCTATCAGCCTATTTAAATTATTAAAAAATAAAACTATACATGTCTCGATTTAAAATACTATATTTCAAATCTTACACAACAAGTACGGGATAGATATTAACCGGAAGCGAAGTGGACCGTTCTACTCTAATGTCTTACTCGATTTATTGTCACACGTGAGAATACGATAAAATTTCAGTAAACTTCCTTGAACATTTACTTGCTTAGAAGATAGAAATTTGTTCGTCTCTCTAATCAATAAAGAAGATAGAAGTAAACTGATTCTTCCGAAAAAGTGGAAGCATAACGCTATCACTCCCAAGATTAATTAAAATGACACTGCAAATGAAAAAAAAAAAATTATTATTATTTTTTAGTGGTAAATGGTTAATTATGTGCTACCATACTTGAGTCCCGTTTGGGATTCATTTTTTTTTTAAATACATTTTTAAAAAATTAATTTTCAATTACACATTCTTCCTTAAAATAATATTACACGTAAATTCATTTTTTTTAACAATACATTTTTCAAAAAATCACCATTCAAAATATATTTTCCTTCAAAACTAAAATTTAATGGAGCCCAAACGGGGATTCATATGGGATTATTATTATCAAAAGTCTATATATGACCTTACTGGGTCTACCTACACTACTTTTTCGAATCGATGGTTAGGCAAGAACCAAATTTAAGCCAATCGGTGAAAAATTCTGATTATAATTTAGGTTAAAATTAATAATTAATTATAACCCTAGCGACACAAGTCTTTATATAGTGGTCTAGATTGTCATCGTTATTCCATGTGAAATTTATCTTTTAATATGTCACCGCAAAATGCTGACTCGTTTAAATCAATTTTGAATATCACGTATTCATTTTTGAATCTTAATCAGATCAAATTGCTTGTTAGAGCTTTGTTTGCTACGATATCATATTAAACATAAAGTCATATATTAAAATATCAACCTTATTAAGAAAAGTAACACAACCCCTTATATATTGATCTAGATTTTCATCTTTATTTGATGTGAGAATTATCATTTAAAACAAAAGATTTGTAACCTTTCAACCACGACTTTTATCAAAATATACTAAAAAGGGAAAATAACCAAAAACCGGGTGTTAAGTTGTGAGTTTTTAAAATTCAAGTTTTAAGGTTTATCTATTCAAAAATCAGGTATTTTATTTTATATATAAAATCCTAGATCTATCAAAACTCTACATTAATCCATTTCATTTCTCTCCACCCTCTCACCCGCCCCCTCCACCACATTTCTCTCATAACGGCGACTCATCCACCACCACTGCCCGACGCCTCCCCCTCCCTTCTCCTTACTGTCGGCGTCGCGAATCCACCACCACCGTCTGTTCTCCCCCCCTCCCCTCTCTCTCTCTCTCTCTCTACCACCAGCTACCTCCACAGCCCCTCCCTTCTCCCTCCGCTTTGAATGTGTAGGATTTCACGCATTTTGAGTGTTGATTTTAGTGTGTGTTGTCTGCTATGTGTTATTTTGGGTGTTGATTTTAGTGTGTGAGTGTTGTCTGCTGTTGAGTCCGACGATTTGTGGTGGTTTTGGAGTTTTTTTATTCTTCGATCTTCTTAGTCGGGTTGGTTTTTGTTGGTAATGATTTGTACATTGTGATGGTTTTTTGTAAATGCAAATGGTGATGTGGTGGTTGGGCTAGTGGTGGTTGTGGCGTGGTATAGATAGAAATTGAGATGGTTGTCGAGGTGTTGGAGGCTGCGTTGTGGTGTTATTGTTGGTGGATGGTTGTGGTGGTGGTGCCGAAGAGTGATCGTGACCAACTATTTGGTCGGTCTGTGACCAACTATTGGTGGTGGATGAGCATCGAGGACGGGTGTTTGGGTGTCTGTAACCCACTATACGGTTCTTTGTGATAACTATTAAACCGTGACCTTAAAATTCGATAATTTGTGACTAAAAATATAATCCGAGACCAACTAATTTGGAAATATCTGACTTCTGTTATCTATAATTTTTTTAACTCGTGACCAATTAAAAATCTGTGACTTATAGTTTTGTTTATCAGTGACCAATAAAGTCAATTGTGACTTATAATTTTTTTGATTTGTGATCTCGAAATAATTTGTGATCAAATAATTTGATAAGCCGTGATCGAAAATTAATTAATAAGATATTTGTGATCAAATTGTATATGATTGTAACCTTAACAATTGTCGGAATTGGAGAGTCGTCGGGAACGACTATCGAAAAGTTCGTCAGAGTAGTCGCCGAAATGGTCGTCGGAATAGTTGCCGAAGTAGAGTAGCCACCGGAACTGTCGACAGAGCAGTAGGGGTGATGAAGGTGTGTTAATTATATTATATTACAATTAAATATTTAATTAATTAATAAAAATCTGATTTTTGCAATTTTGAACCTTAGTACCTGATTTTTTATTTTGGCAAAGTTGAAACCTCATCCATGGATTTTTCCCTACTAAAAATCTGATTTTTGTCTCAACCAAACATGATTTAAGTAAAAACCTCCATTTTTTTTTTAACAAATTAAGTCACTGTCTGATCATATTTTTTAAAAACTCATTTTTTGTCAAATTTACTTGAATTACATATTCTTCTAATAAAATAATTTTACACATATATTCATTTTTTTCCTACTTTTCAACTACAATAAAAGTTGGAAACATTAATTTTCATATAAGAGTTTGAATTACTCTTCTTTATAAAATTCCACATATTAATGGAACTCCAAATTTTAATATAATATCACAGCAAGCTAAACTCAAATGAATAATTTGAACGGATTAATATTTAAATTAAATATGAGTACATTAATTTCAATATATATTAATGTGATTAAACGGGTCATCATTTTGAAATGCAAGTTAATAGATAAATTTCAAATCTAAAATTCCGAGTGTATTTGGAGCATATTAAAAGGAAAGAATGCATTTTTTGAAGTGATGTGATAGGAAATATGTGGTTGAAAAAGAATGAAAAGTTAGTAATGTGATATAAAATATTATTTTATTAAAAAATATGTGACTGAAAATAAGTAGAATAATGAAAATTTCCATGTCCACAAATTTATATTAAATTGATCATGATTTGACTTTCTATACACGTTAAAGATGTGAAATGAGCAATTAGGTCCATCGATTTCAGTCACCCTCCCCCACTACCCTAAGGGCCCACCACCACCAAAAAGAGAAACCTCTTGTTTTTTAACGCACTTCCAAATTCTTTTTAATACATGTTTGAGCGTCATTATTTTAAATTTACTTATAATTTTATTTTATTAAAAAATATGTAATTGAAAAAAAAAGAAAAAGAAAATATACTTTGAAAATAATAAAAATCAAGCAACGGATTAAATTACAATTTAATTATTTAGGATTCTCACTCCCCATTAGCCCAAATCCAAAATCCACATGGAAGCTTCATCTTGTTGGCATATTAAATTAATTAAAATATAATTTTTCTTCTCTAGTTTATATCAAATTTGATGATGCAAAGAACTCAATTCGAAGATGATCTCTCTCTCTCTCTCTCAGACAAAGCCAAAAAACGACTCTCTAGAATTCAGACTAGATACATGCAATTTTGCCACGATCAGTCAAACGGTGTGAACATGTCTCCAAGTCGGCTTGTTGGCATATATTCATCTTTAATGAAAATTTTCAATTCATATTTTTTACTTATAATTAGCTTTTAAGCACATTTAGCAGAAAGGTTTAGCGCACAGAAAGATTACTGTTTCATTGACGGCTGTATCAATACCAATTTGTTCTTTTTCTTTCATATAAAGCCGTTCTTTGATAATTTCCAGGTCCCCACATAGCTGCAGTCAATTTTCTTAAATATATGTCCAATTTGATTCAGTTTCTTGCATGCGCGGCTTGTAGTTCACGCAAAAGATTATCTGGGCTGATAATTTTGATTAGGGTTCTTTTCTTATTGAATTTGGTGATTTTGGAAGAAAAGATCAGGAGGGTTCAGATAATTTGTTGGGTTGGTACATGTGTGCTTGTTAAAGGTGGCGAATCCACGGGATAGCAGCGAGTATGTTAGATTTCCAGCAGACACTTCAACCTCCTCCGCCACCTCCGCCGCCGTTTTGAATAATAATGCGTACTACCAAATACAACAGCAAGAACAACCGGATTATCTATTATCAGCAGTGGCAGGAGGGGCGATGTTTTCGGGCTATAGTAAATCGGTAGACACGTCGGCTATGGTGACTGCTCTAACGCATGTGGTATCTGGGCAGAGGTACGGCGGAGAAAGGAGGTTTATGCCTGAGCAACTGAGTGGTGGCGCTGTTGCTCCGCCTTTTGTGGCTGCTGGTGGTGGCTCTGGGAATATTCAATCAGCCAATTCGCCAACGTCTGCTTATTCTTCTTCTAGCTCTGGCTCTTGGCCTGGCCAGAAGAGAAGACGTGATCAAGAAGACAGTGTTAAGCAGTCACCGGAGCAAGTCCCGGCGGTTTATCGGCGGTTCGGAGAGTCATCTTCCTCTGTCAAAGCTGGTTAGTTTAATCTTAATATTTTTCTCAATTCAAAGCCACTATTCAAACTCCCCTGTTTTTTATCCATGAAAATTCATTCTTTCAAACATATATTTTTTTTCAAATTTTTATTTTCAATGTCAATATTCAAACATAATGTCTTCTAATAAGCTAATAACTTGAATTAGTCATATTTATGATTATTTTTAATTTGCACTGTTCATTCATTTGATTTTATTTCCAGGGCTTGAGGCAGGGACGAGTTTTGCAATGCCTTCCACCGTTCCCGCCGCGGCTGCGAAGTTTCCCACCACCACTGCCACCGTAGCACAACCACAAGCAGAAATAACGAGCACTGCAAATGAAGAAACAGGAGAGAGAACAAGAAAATACAGAGGAGTTAGACAGAGGCCATGGGGCAAATGGGCAGCAGAAATAAGGGATCCGCATAAAGCCACCAGAGTATGGCTGGGCACATTCGAAACGGCGGAGGCCGCCGCCAGAGCATACGACGAAGCAGCCCTTCGGTTCAGAGGAAACAGAGCCAAACTAAATTTCCCTGAAAATGTCAGAATCCCCGACCCACCGCAGTACCATATTTCCCAAGCCACTCAGTTGGCCATTTCTTCTCCACCACCACCAACCGTCGCCACATCTCCGAGGCTTACCACCCCATTCTTCCAAACTCCGCCGTCCCATATCTCTAACACTATCAGAGACTACTGGGAATACTCACAGTTGCTTCAAAACAGCCATAATTTCCTCGGCCAACATTCTGCAACGTTGTTACAACAAATGTTTTATGCTTCATCTTTATATTCACAATCAATGTCCTCTTCTCCTTCTTCCCAATCTTCCTCTTCAAATCCACTGGTATTTTCCAGTGGACAAACAATTCATTTTGGGCAGCAAGGAAATCAAATTCAAACGCAAGGAAGCAGTTCCAGTTTTTCAATACCACCATCGAATACCAGTTCCAGTTACTATCCTCCCTCCTCTTCTTCTTGAATATTCATTTTTTGCTTGTGTTATTCTTGAAAAAACTATACAAGTCTTCTTTTTATTACAATTATTGGTATTCTACTTGTTATGGACATTATCAGAAAGAACAAAACTGAAGAATTAAGGATTATCAGAAGCAAACTTTTGTATCTTTTATTAAAGATTTTAATGGTGTTTATTTATCGATATACTGCATGTGTTAGTAAATTTTGGTTGAGGACATTATAAAAGTTTTGATGAATGTACAAGAAAAATGAATTCAATTCTCTAACAATTTAAGTTTTTAAAAGGGATTTGTTAATTATAAATTTTTGAAATGTCCTAATTCACGACGTGAAAACATTTTTTTTTATTTTTTTTTGTAATTTTCAATTTAAAATTTACACTTTCAAATATCGAAATACAGTTGAATTTTTTTGATAAAATATTCATTTCTACATTTTGTAGGATGGGACTAGGATATAAAGGTATTTTTTGATAGATGATAGGCGAAAGCTTACAATTTGACGTGGTGTTGTCGACCAAGAAAATTACAAAGATTTTCTTGAATGTTTATCTAGTGATCTTCGTCATATCATTGTTATTGTATACAAAGCTTGGAAGAAACTAATACTCGTTTCTTGTATGAAAAGCAAGGAAGAAACAAATGCTTTGTGGCCAAATTTGGTCCAAGAAATTGCTTGGAGACATAATAAATGTAACAATCGAAAACGAAATGGATTAAATTGTGACTTGTTTTATCCTTTCATTATCATTTCCCATATAACTATGTTTTAATTTCTCACGTTTGGTGATAACTAAAAGGAGATAATTTGTCCTTTTTTTTGAGAGTTAGTGGTTGGTCTACAATTTTCCTCAAGCAAAGTAATCTATATATATAATTAAATACTAAATACGTATACAATAAATATAATTTTAATATCTTTAAATTTTATCGAGTATACATTATATTGTGTTCATCCATCAAAGTATAGAAACGGTTAGTAGCTTAGCACAAGTTTTGAATCAAATATGATTTAGATTAATCCATCAAAGTGTACGTTTTGGTTTGGTATTGTTTTATTTTTTAAGAGAATCAACTTTGTTACGATGAAGAAATAGTCCGATTGTAGGAAGAATCAATTATTGTATGTTTCAAATCAGCATTTTAACATTTGATAAACAAAAATGATTTATTATTGTGTCAATATATAATTATCGAGTAAACGTTGATTATACGATGTCCTTTTGTATCGTTATTATCATTGCTACGATATTTCAATATTTTAAAATAATATGTAACATTATTAAGATTAATGTCATTTTAATTTAAAATAATTAATATATACTAAATCTAAAAATTTGTAAAATTACAAAACAAAAAAAATGGTCCATACACTAGATAAATAATTATTTTCATTAATTAGGGTAAAAAATAATGTAATATTTTAATTATATATAATTTAAAAAGCTTATGGAAAAATTTGAAAAGATAATTTTTTCCTACGTTCAAAATGAGTCGTCAAATGGTACGTATTCTTCTATAATTAGTTCTTCAAATTATCGAACACTTAAAAAACAACTTTTGATTATTTGAGAATTAGAAGTTGGGTTCTAAAATCAATCCATTGCATTCTGATTCAACATTGCAAGTGAGCTAGTTATGAACGCGTTGAAAATAAAATAGAAAATGAATGTGTTCCTTGGATTAGTTCCTTGGCAAGGGTAAAGGGATTCAGTCTTTCTAAATTGGTGTGGTTGAACTAGCGAACAGGAAATGGATTAGTTCTAAAAACTCGGTTCACCTAAACAACAACAAGAACTTGCCAAAAACTTGTAATATTAACATATCCCAAAACTTGCCAAAAGCTCCTTAATGCCGAGGTATACTTCTAAAAGAAGATCTGATTGTCTCTTTCTGGTCTGAAATGAATGTCAGCTTGTTCAGAAACAGACATCAAACAAACCCTTTCTCCTGTTTGAACACGTGCTTTAAGAGCTGTCCGAAGAGCAGATCCTACTTTTTTTCTCTCCAGAGAATTTTTTA